AATGCAAGCTTACACCGAGCGCGAATGTGCGTGGAAAAGTCGAGAGCGCTGGTATAGAGAAAGCCTAGATCCCTTACACAGTTAACTCGGGAAATGGTAACACCATCCATGGTATAGGTGCAGGAGGGAAAAGGGGAAAGGTTGTTGCCGATCGTCATATACAATCAGTGGCCGGAATCGGACCTTATGTCACAATCCACACTGACCTTCTCTAAAGGGGACAGTAAGAACTGCCGTGTTTTGTCCCTGTTGCCATTTCGTGGAGCTAAAAGAACCAGTTTCGTTCTGATCACCAATGGCGCAGTGGCCACAAATGTGTCATGCCTCTATTTAGACCTCGAGATCGACATCCACCTAAACACCTTCCCGTTCAAAACTGATGTCTCATGTTTTGGTATAACATTATTGATATTATCCTATTATCAGTGCCAATGATTACTGTAGTTTACATAGATACAGTATTCCTTAGAATTTGAATGACTTCCATTTACAGTATACCATTCGAGAATACTTTCTTTCAGAGCGCTGCGGAACTTGGCTCAGTGAATGTTCGACGAATGTCGTTGAAGGAGTTCACTGGTTTGGACAACACCAAAGCCGACATAACGTTAGTTTTACTATTAGCTACACATTTTCTTGACTTAAAATTTATATTCATTACTCGGTGAGAAATAAACAGGACAACTAATCCTACAGCATATGGCGGGACAACTCGTCCAATCCTATGTGCAGAAGTACTTTTTTTTGTAGAAAGTCGTAATCAGTGACTAACCAAGGCCACGAGAAGTCGTCGGCAGCTCAAGACCGTCTTAAAACTACAACACAATTTTGAAAGGACTTTACGAGTCGAATTTCAAATTTCAAATTTCAATTGCAAAGGGATCCATGCATGTCCAGCGATCTCCTAGTACCTGGGTGAAGTGACTGTTTTGACTAGGGACTTGGATGTAGCGCCTGGATTCGATTACTTCACAAAATCACGGACGAGTTGTACTCACGATCAATCTTCTTCTACTCCTAGTCTCCTTTAGCGACTTTATAGCTGATAAAGCTGTCGGCGAGAGGGAAGTTTGCAAGTCCTCAGGGAATGGCGGAATGTTTGCGTGTCGATTAAGTTGGTTGAGGAAACTCACAGCGGAAATGAGGGATTAGCTCAAAAAAGTCCAACAGCCTCCTAATTGATGACCAATGAAAAGGGCTAGCTAAAAAATGAGTGGGTATGTACTGGGCATCTCTACTGTAAAGTGTTCTTGAACTACAAAAATTGTTCCCTATCAAGGGAAGGGGATCCGACGGGTCACAGGACTTTGACCTGACCAGATGAAAAAGAGTTCTATTCCTCCTTACCCTCTTCTCCCCTCGTTTTCTTTCCTACCAGACTGCAACCCTTACAGGACTCTCGACCATTTTTGGAATAGTAATGGCAGTGGAAGTAAGCTGTTTGAATGGAACATTCCATAACGATGACCCATGAAAGATCGAATCCAAACAGAACAAACTCGCACTTACCCAGCTGAGCTTTCAGAGATCTCCCTGTGGCAGCTTGGAAATGCTCAACGTCACCATCACAACTGATAAATTCGTATTCGGCTAGGCGGCGAAGTGTCCTTTCCACAGATCTGCCACCAAGTCCATCTAAGAAACTCACAATTGCCAAAGAGGAAAGTATCGATTTACCGACAGCGATCAATAGGTTCGTGTACAGTTTGATTTTATTCTACTCGGTGACCTTTATTTCTTAATTTATGAAAGAATAAAGTAAATAAGGATATAAATAAAATGATAAAAGTAAATAATACCTGTAAGGATAGATCACATGTAATGGAATCTCCCTTTATCAACGGATATTGTTTGAATTTATTGTTAATCGTATCCTCCTCCGACTGTCCTTTGTCCATCGCTATTTTAGCCGTCTTCCATCGTCCGGTCAGCCTGAAGGTCTTTCTGATTTGTAATGAATCGATCATACACATGTACATTCCAGTATCTGTTCCAGAATTATTCGAGACAGGTTCCTGCTGGGATCGCTCCCTTCCGCCCATTATAGGACCATGAGCAACTGCCTTTGTTTATTCATATCTTCAAAAAATCGCTTTTGATATTCACTTCCTCTACGAAATTCCGGAACAGTCTGTTTTACCAAACTGACTACCAAACCAAAGCAACTAGCTTGTGGAGCATTCTGGACGAACAATCACAGACCATGAGGCGGAGATTTCGTAATGGGCGGAACTGTCTGGGAGGTGGACTATCTGCGGCAGGCGCAGTCCAAATTGAAGCTTTATTCGGTAGCTGCCGTATGTAATGGAATGTTTTAACAAATGGAAAAGTAATGGGTGAGAGGTTAGCAACAAAGGATGGGTGTGGGAAAGGATCCACCTGAGCGGGTGTAGTTCTCATGCTTGGTATAATGGGGTTGTTAAGAGATTCAGATTCGGCCCTACTTATGATGAAACGAGATCAAGGCAGCGATGAAGCGTTTGAGATTCGTAGTCTGAAATGAGTTCTATTTCTTTCTCCATTTCTCAAAAGAATGATTCTGCTGGATAATTTATGCTTATGACAGGTTTCTTTTCTCAGGGTTTCCACCCTACAATCGCGATTTAATGAAGACAATGCTGGCACCGAGAAAACGACGACGTCGACGTCATGTTCGTCGTCTTCGAGCGTCAATGAGTCCACGAATCGTTCACGACAAAAACTTCTCGAAGAAAGTAAACGGTTTGCAGTTGCAGCGAAGGATTTTTCTCAGTACGTTTATTTTTTCTGAGCACAGCCTCTTTACCAGTCTTCAACTGAACTTTTCAGAATTTCCTTCTCATCACCAGAAACAAAATGGGATGCGGCTGTAGCTGAAATCACTGATTGTGCTGACTGTTTAACAACAGCCGCTATGGACTTTACCGTTACAGCCAGTGTGTACCATTCACAGCTTGTTTCCACAGAAGTCACCCAGGTAAGTCTTGCCAGAGGAGACTGTCCAAGAGAAGTTTTAGTGCCTAACTACCGATTTTCAGGTCCTGGACGCCTTACATAAAGCGCTTGAAGACGCCCAAGAGTCACGTTCTAGTCAGAACGATTTTTTGGCCCTCAAGTCGATGACGCGTCTGCAATCGACGTCCAACCAACTTCTTCATGCCGTTTCAACGATCGTCTCCTCAGCCACTACTTAGCGCCTTTTCCTTGAGTAACGGATACCGTATTACGAACGTTTTGCTGTCGTGGAACACCGTTAGTGCAGATGTCCGTTGAGGCTGCGTCTATACCTGGCGAACGCGCAGCCAAAAGACTTGATGATAAATACGTATCGATTTTTGCGCTCCCGTGCTACCGACTATAGCCTTGCCCACCACTTATCGCCTGTTTCAGAACAGTACTTTCTTATTTGTAGGAAACTGTACAACCAAGAACAATTATCTGATTGGCGCAATAGGCGATGTCGCCAGTAAATTCGCCAACTGTACACGCAGTTTTCGCATCGTCAATTACCTTAAGGGACACGGTATCGGGACAAAAAGTGTCATAACCAGCTTCCTCTTAGTCCAAACCCTCTTAAAAAAGGTGAATCAGCGAAAAATTGACTTAATTCACTTATTGAGCTAATACATCCCAATGAGCGCCCATCTCACAAACACTTTGGTTTTCATGGCAGCAACAACATCGTCAGATTTTCTATTTTTATGTGTTATGCTTGAATTTTATCGATAAATCTTACATTCCTTACTGTGATGTACTAAACGCCTATACAATAACTACAGCATTGAGGTGTAAGCAACAAAATGAGAACTTGAATAAAGCCGCCACCTTCGACATTCCCTGGCAAATCTACACTTTTTGACATATGAAACGCTCACTTTGTTCAACGAAGTATGTCACGGAGATGTACTTTAGCAGAATGCGCACGTGGATGAGGTAAAATCATATTGGAAATGAGATCGATACACGACAAAAAAGTCTGCATGCACAAAAATGAGGATAGAAGAAAGTGAGGAGCTGACAAAAAAGTGCAAAAATCAAGGTAAGGAGAGAGGAGAACAACTGTTACAACTGTTCTTACCGAAGTATATTTCAACCTAATCTACAAATGCCTCTACTAGTCTATTGGTTAAGAGCTATTTATTCTTGCTGACTGGAATCAGTGGGAAATTTCGCATAACATTAAAGAATGTTGGCAGATGTTATTACTTTGCAAACAGGCCCTCTTCTCCCCTCTTTTTCTCCAGTAAGTGTTGGTTTGTGGGTCTTTGGACCAGATTTGCGTTGCCATGAACCGGGAGAAACTGCTCCTATTCGCCCCGTGCATAGGCAGTACTTCATGGGAAGTGACGCACTAGTAACATTCGAATTCGAATCGATCTGGGATTCGAAAACGATTCAAATCCCGGATTGGTACCCGCCTGAGAAAACCAAGCTCCCCATCTCTCTAGGGTCGACTAATGGGTGCAAGACTCGTCCGGGAGGATAAAAGCACTGAATCGTACATCGACTGACCACCGTAACTCACTGTATCGGCACCATACACTTCAATGCGCCACTACGACCGAGAATGGAAGTTGAACGTGGGGGCGCATCCCTCAGACGGGACCAGTCAACGCCCACGGACTTCATCCTTTTATACATTGCTAGGAATCGAAACTGTTCACTTATCAAATACAAACTCAATAGAGCTGAATCAACGCAAGTTCCGAGATGCCACCAAGATCAGGAAAAAACATCGCGCTGACAGTCTCGCTCCCTGCAACTATAGAAGGCCCTGTGCAAATGTAAAAATGTTTCTTGGGCGGAGAGCATAGCATTTTTGGAGCTTTGCTATAATTTGACTCTCCAATAGGACTCGTAAGCTCCGACTCTATTTTGGGACGCGCCCACGCCATGTACTCAATTTCCATCCAAAATCGTGGACTCGAGTGAATTTTCACTGGAAATAACCAGAGACTTATGCAGACGAGCGAATGTTCAGCTTGATGCTTTCACCTAACCCTGCCTTCAGAGATAAAAGGGACATTATATAATCAATATTGGATGGGTGAAAGCTTCGCTGGATAGGAAGGGCATCGATCTAGGATTCGGTAACCAGGCGAAGCGTCTAGCCGCCACTGGCTTTACTGCGAAACTATTGTGCGCTGATGTTGAAGACATAATTCGCAATAAAAATGGTTTCTGAGACTTCCCGCTGGCAGAAAGCTACTGGAGCAGTGATTTCCACCTGATGGCCCATCTGCATCCTTTCTACCACATTTCGCGCTCATAAGCCAGCCCCACGCTCAAAAAGTGCTTGCAAAAGTGCTTTTTGAGCATGGGCAAGTGTCGAAACATACCCTTCTACCCTTTCGAATCACAACCTCACTGCTTTAGGGTCATTATCATATTCTTATAGCGTTCAAGGAAAACTTGGTACTGATGAATCGATCGCAGTTGCCTTTTCAAACAGGGAAGAAGAGCTAATGGCGTTTACTGAAATGAGCAAATAAAGGAATGCCTGTAAAGCAAATTATTCGTAGTTGGTTTTTTTGGGAACGTCACACGCATGCTTCTACATGCTTCTTTCAACAGACACTATGTTTCAATAACCGCTACATCCCTATAAATATGGAACTGAAGCCAGAGAGAACATCCTCTCGTTTGAGTTGTTTTCATTGCTTTGCACAATTCTCTGAAATTTGTCTCGATGATTTTTCTTAGAAAACTCTCGGAAGAGAATTGTGCTCGTCATAGGTGGTTGGTACCAGTACTGAAAATGCTGTTGATAATGAACATATTTTCTCCCAAGTTATCTATAGGGTTAATCCCATAATTTCAATCAGGGGATCTTCTCAGGGGAACTCACAGTTACGCAAATCGGCGTAATATCTATCCATTCTTTCCGTTTATTTCATGTACATATCTTCCCTTCTTTCCGCCTATTCCGAGGTCAGTAGAAAATCCTCCATGGTTTCCCTTGTTTTTAGGGTAGACCAATTCCCCACATACCCACATCCTCCTGATGTTCTCTAATCTAAGAAGGAATTCGTTGTCTAGAAGATGATACAGTTGACCCTAACTTGCAAGTACTGTTCAAGGACGGTTTCTGAGATAATTCTTTGAGATGAATCAGTGGCCCCATATGTGGAGCTGTAATAGCGAAAAACGGCCTAGATAGGGCGTTATGAGGGACCAAAGGTTGTGTTGGCTGAATGCTACACCCCAAGGCGGACGAGTTCTGACGACCCTGCATAGGATGCACAATTTGCAAGGAACACCCATGGTGAAGACTCAAAAAACTAGTAGTGACCCATGGCGGCAATGGAAGGCATGTTTGACAATCTTGGCCTAACATGGTCAGTCATTCACGCAATTGAAACAACTGAATTCTTGTCCAAACAGCCATTCCATACCATGAAGTCGCGATAATCTCGTACACCCCTTGTTCTCACTATTCAGAAAACCTTATTTTCCGCGAAGTCGGCGATTTTCACGCTCTGTTTGCCTTCAGATGATACCCTAAATCACCGCGAACTGTGCCTTAAAAATCACTATGTTAAGTCTGTGACCAAATATAGTCCAAATGGCTCAACACCTCATCAGTCAATCGATTTTCACTAAATTCCAAGAAAAATGTTCAAAGCAACTCGGTCACAGCGAATTTGCTATCATACTAGGACAGAATCGCAGTGTCTTTGTGAAAAATGTCACACTTCAGGATGAGGATCATACTACTAACATTGCTGTTAGTTGTTACTGTCAGTGGAAGTCCTACTTATGGCAATCTAGAGGATATGGAGGATGTAATACTCCAGACTATAGAGCAGACACCAAAGGCAAAAAGATTTTTGGAGGAAAGAGCCAAGGTCTCGTTCTCATTATTTTCGTCTTCACACAGCTGTAAGCGCGCAGATCGGTTGACGAAGGGTTTATAGCTGTGTACGTTTGCACGACATTGGATCACGTAGACATCAACAAGACAAGAAGGAAGTGTAGGATTGGAACACTAGTCAAGGGAATCCGATATGGGACTATATAGAAAAAGCTTGATTTTGTGCAATTAATTAATTATTTAAATTGTATAGAGAGAAACCACGACCCGCCACGTCCGTGTCCATCCATTAGGCGACAATATCAACGACATCAACGAAGGCAGCGATGTCATTGGGCAGTACTTCCAAGGCGATATAGCACTTTCACTGTACGTCCTCACGACTAAATTTATAAGTCCTATCAAGAACAAATCAGTATGTTTCAAGGGAACAAAAAAGAGATATCGTGGAGGATTTTTTGGAAGGAAGTTCCGAACGTACCAAGCGTCAAGCGTTCAGCCCTAAATTACACACGAAACTGTGGAAGGACGGGGTTGTGTACTATTCCTTCAACAAAACGATCAGTAAGTTTGGCAGAGGTAGTGGTGCTAGTGGCCGCAATAATGAAGCGTGTTGTAGGCAAGGAACTACGTAACATATTCAAAAAGGCAGCCGAATCATGGACAAAGGATAGTTGCGTTCAGTTCGTAAGGAATCCTGATGGTAGGCCTTACGGTTGTGAGATCGAGCCGAGTCGTCACGGAATACACAGTTTGTTACGCAAAAAAACCTTTCAGCTGAGGACCGTATCTCAGTGCAAAGGTTGAAAGGATGTTCGTCAGAGTTAGGCAGAAAAGGAGGCGTGCCG